GTCTTACATTTAGGTCTTTCATCCATTTTGAGTTTATTTTTGTGTATGGTGTAAGAAAGTGGTCCAGGTTCATTTTTCTGCATGTCACTGTTCAGTTTTCCCAGCACCATTTGCTGAAGAGAGTGTCTTTATCCCATTGGATATTCTTTCCTACTTTGTCAAAGATTAGTTGGCCATATGTTTGTGGGTCTATTTCTGGCTTATTTATTCTGTTCCATTGATCTGAGTGTCTGTTTTTGTGCCATTAATTTTTTAATGTTTATTTATTTTTGAGAGAGAGACAGAGCACGAGTGGGGGAGGGGCAGAGAGAGAGGGAGACACAGATTCTGAAGTAGGCTCCAGGCTCTGAGCTGTCACCATAGAGCCCGACGTGGGGCTGGAACTCACGAACCACGAGATCATGACCTGAGCCTGAAGTTGGACGCTTAACAGACTGAGCCACCCGGGTGCCCCCATTTTATTTTATTTTTTGAGAGAGAGAGAATGAGAGAGAGACAGAGTGTGAGCAGGGGCGGGGCAGAGAGAGAGGGAGACATGGAATCCAAAGTAGGCCCCAGGCTGTGAGCTGTCAGCACAGAGCCTGACGCAGGCTTGAACCCACAAACCATGAGATCATGACCTGAGCCAAAATTGGACGTTTAACCAACTGAACCACCCAGGCGCCCCTTTGTTTTTCTAGAGATGAGAAGTCTTGAGGCAGAAAGAAGTCAAATAATTACCTAGGGTCACATGACTACAGCCAGGATTTACGGCAAAATTGTATCATTCCCTTTTTAGAGAAGAGACAACTGAGGCATGGAAAAGCTAAATAACTTTGCTGAGGTAAGCTACCTAGTAAGAGACTTAGCCTGGAAGATCTTTAAAGGTAGTAGGGGAAAAGATAAGTACAAGGTGATAAATCCTATGAGAGTATCCACAGGGTTCTGTGGTGGTATAGAGGAAAGGCATCAAAATAAGACTAGGGATCAGAGTTAAAATTATAGGAATTTGTTTCTGTAGGAAGCAAGATACCTCTCCTGACAATAAGGAAAAAGGATGGGTGTTGATGCTAATACATGTGTGGGTTAGTAAGGGACACAGTTGAGGGAGTTCCTGCCCAGTGGTAATTTTTTTTCAAGTTTTCACTCAAGTAGGAGGCAAAGTTTTCTAACAGTGAGGAGGGGAAGATAAAATGCTATGTTTGAGGAGACAGTATACATTTTGAAATAGCTTCTGATGGAAATGGGAATGGGAGATGATTAGAGACAGAAGTTTTGAAGGCCCAGATGGGGTTAGAGAGCATGGATATGTGATGTTACTAATATGCAAAGGATAGGTCAGATAAGAATACAAGAGCATGATTGAGCTGATGGACCAGGGAGTCTAGATAGAAAGGGGAAGTAGGTGAAGACAGAAGAGGGCAGACTGGGAACATACACAGCAGGGGTTTGGAATGCTTTGGTGATTGTCAAGACCTGTAGTGGGGTTAAAAGCTGGAATAATAGGAAATTGTTGCATTGGAGTTTAAGGTTCAGGAGTCTTTTTTTTTTTTTTTTTTTTTATTTATATATGAAATTTATTGTCAAATTGGTTTCCATACAACACCCAGTGCTCATCCCAAAAGGTGCCCTCCTCAATACCCATCACCCACCTTCTCCTCCCTCCCACCCCCCATCAACCCTTAGTTTGTTCTCAGTTCTCAACAGTCTCTTATGCTTTGGCTCTCTCCCACTCTAACCTCTTTTTTTTTTTTTTTTGTTCCCCTCCCCCATGGGTTTCTCTTAAGTTTCTCAGGATCCACATAAGAGTGAAACCATATGGTATCTGTCTTTCGATGGTTCAGTGTGATGACAAGATTCAGAGTGACCATGGCGAGAGAGTTGTTGAAGTAGAGTGAGGGAATAAGGTTATTGGAATTGACATTTTCTCTTTCCTTATGGATTTGTTGTTGCTGCCCGTCTATCGATTATGGAGTAAAGTATGTTGAAAATCTCCCACTGTGATGGAAGATTTGTCAGTTTTTCTTTAAAGTTCTGTCAGTTTTTGCTTTATTTATTTTGAATCTGTTATTAGGTGTTTGCCTAATTATAGCTTTCTTATCATTCTGATGAATCAAACCTGTTATCATGGAGTAACTCTTTGGGGTGCCTGGGTGGCTCAGTTGCTTAAGTGTCCGACTCTTGATATGGCTCACATCGTGTTATCACTGTCATGAGATTGAGCCCATTATGCTCTGCTCTGAGTGCAGAGCCTGCTTGGGATTCTCTCCCTCCCTCTTTCTCTGCTCACCCCCCCAAATAAATAAACATGGAGTAACTCTTTGTTATTGGAAATGCTTTTTGTTTTAGTCTGTTTTGTAGGAGACTGACATTGCTACTCTGGCTTTATTTTGGATGGTAGTTGCTTGGTATATTTCCATCTTTTGGGGTTTTACTTAATCTTTTTTCTTTTTTGTCCTCATGTCTTAGATGCCTCTTTTAAATAGTATGTAACTAGATTTTATTTTTAAATCCTGTTTGATGATTTTTGTCTTTAATCTAGACAATTATTTACCTGTGTAGTGATTATTGATATACTAGGAATAAATTCAAAGATCTTATTTGAAACTTTCTAAATGATTGGCTTTTTTCTGCCTCCCCCCCCCCCCACTTCTCTGTTATTTTCGATTGATTGTGGTTTTCCCCCTATTCTTGTTTGGAAGTTAGTTATACATTCTGTGTGTGTTCTTTTAGGTGTTATTGTATCTATTTTAACATGCATATTTATTGTAAAAATGTACAACAATGTCACTCTTCCTACTGTTTTTCTTCTGGAAAATATAGTTATTTTTCATAGAATATGTTATTTATGTTAGCATGTAATGGGCATATTATTTTTTTAATGAATTGATAAACATTTCAATTTTTCTCAGTTTTAATTTCTAATATGATTTTTCATAGAGTCTAAAGGTAACCAGTATCTTTACCCTCATCTTAAATGAGGCAAGGTCCTAAGAACACTTTACCTCTGATCAAAGCCTTTCCAGATATGCTATTGTCTTGTTTTAGTTCTATCTCATTCTTCTCCACCCTTCTCCACATGCACATGAAGTTGACATCATTATTATCTTCACAGTTGATGTTTGTTTAGATTTGCCCACTTATTTACCAATAT